AGGTGGAGAGAGACTGGAGGAGAGACCTGAAAATCCTGTCTTATGATGGGCTAATTGGCTAGTATTCCATTGGTTCTTCTGACTCCCTGCCAACACCCCTACCTACCTGAGTTTAACCAGTTAGTCACTGAGTGCTGGCCAGCACTCGTCCTATGCCTCACACCACCCCTAGCCACAGCAGCAAGACTCAGGTGTTGTTAAGGCTATTCCCCACTCTGGCTCTCTGTGTGCAGAAGGTGGGGGCCCACAAGAAACTTTTTAAAATACCTTCCCACTAAAGGCTTGTGTTAAAACTCTCCAAGGTCACAGATTCCTGCCACCACCCAAATGTAAGGCCCTTTTGAGAACCCAGTAAGGCACACTTGGGAATTCCTCTCTGTGAGGTGCACACAAGCTCTTTTAACCCTCCCTCTAGAGAGAGATTGAAAATTGTAATTTCTTTTAGTAGTTTTGCTTTGGAGTCTTAAGCACATGCACATAGAACCTTCCACTTTCTAGTACGCAGGAATCTGATCAGGGTCTTAAAAGGGTTGTTTTTTAATCAATTAACAAGACACTTATTGAAACATTACTTGGTTGCTAGGTGTTACAGAGCAACTAAAAAAAAGGATTTAAACACACAATCGCTTCCCAGGGATTCAATTTGGAAAGTTACAGTGTAAGGGAATAGTTATGTGTGTTCCGCACAGAGAAGTTCAACAAACCCCAAAATAAAGAAAATATCCTTATCACATCTGAGTAAACATTCTCTGTTCTACTTACATAGCTGCAGTTTCTAAATTTAGTCCTTCACTAGGCATCGATGTCACTGGCTCCCTGGCTTATTTCGTGCCCTCCAAGGCTCTTCTGGTGACGCACAGGAAGGGGTCACTGCTTCCAATTCACTTTGTTTCCATTGGCTCTCCTGGCCTCCTGCCAACTCATTTCCTTCTTCCTTAGCATTCTTGGGGACTCTCTAGGACGGGGTGGGCAAAAGGGCCTCTGTGGCCTGGATCCGGCCCACCAAGCAAGTTAATTTGGCCTACGGAGACCCTGCTGCTCCCCCTGCACCCAGGCCAATCAGCGCTTGGGGGTGGGGAGAGCGTGTGAAGTCGTCTTCTTCCTGTCCTGCAATGGGCTCAGCTTTTAAAGTCAATCACCAGCTGCTTAGCTGGCAGTTGACTCTAAGTGCGGTGTTCCCTTGCAGAGCAGGGACAGAGAGCAAGAGGCTTCAAGTGCTTCCCCTCCCCAGGCCCTGATTGACCTGGGGGCAGCATGGGGGAGCACACAAAGTCTCCTCCCACCAACAGGAGCAGGGTACCTAGAAGGCTGGCGGGTCTCTCTGGGGGGAGGCAAAGACTTCGCACACTCCTCCACCCCTAGACCAATCATGGTCTGTGGGTGGGGAAGCCCCTTCAGAAATTTTTGAAGTGGCCCCCAGTCAAAAATTATTGCCCACCCCTGCTGGAGGACCTGCTGTCTATGGTTTTAACCCTAACAGGCAAGACAGTTAGGATTAGGTCTCGAGTTTACCACTGTGAAAGAACTTTAGTTTCTTGAATGGCTGGAATGTCCAAAAAAGGGCATTACATCCTCTTCCCTATTCATCACAAGTGTATTAATGACACATCACAACATGGTGACATTTACACTTTATCTTTGTCTATTTTGGCTCTTATTCTGAGGCCCATTACTATAGCATATAAATCCTAATATTATGACTTCTTATGCAGGGTAAACTAAAACTCTGGGCTTGTGATGTATAAGTGAACCTAAAGGATTATGGGATTGTCACGTCATACATATTTGTCCTTTAAACGAATGTGGTCTGTTTATGACTTACGTGCACACCTCCCTACCTAATAAATCAGGGCTACTCAACTTTGAAAGCCCCAGGGGCCACAATGAAACTGTCAGCACTATGTACAAAGTCATTTTTGGGCCAGGCAGAGCATATGCTAACTCAGGGCACAGTAGGTGTATACATGCGTGTATTAGGTAGCTGTTCAAAGTGTTCCTGCTAGTTATTACATCATGTGCTAGAGTTCACAGTCATGACCGTGGAAGAGTCCTTGAAAGGAACCCATTGATGTCAGTAAATCTGTTGAGCTCTGCATGAGTGCAGATGTCTGTCCATGAGCATTGCATTGCAGACGTAAGGCCTTGACATGGCTATAAGCTTGTCACAGGGTGAGTCTGGTGGTGGTGCTATCAGGAAGGACCCACAAGACTTAAGTTCAAATCCCTGTTCTGCGACTTTAGACAGATTGCTTTGCCTCTTAGCCTCAGTTCCCAATTTACAAAATGTGGCCAATAGGACTGCCCTGCCTTCCAGGGAGTTGTGAAGGTAATTATAGTAAACTCTGAGATGGGTACTTGGTCATGGCAGCCACAGAAGTATCTTAAGTGAATATTGCATTATTACTTTTTTGTTGTCAGTACAAATGGAGAGAGCAAGAGCCCAAATGAGTCTTCCTGGAGTAAGCCAAAGCCAATGGCTGCTGATTACACCACAAGGTAAGAGTAGTGGTACTATGGAAAAAACGATCTGTTCTTTTATCCTACCCTGGCGTGTGATACTTCTTAAATTATTTGAAATGTCAAGTGAAACAGTCTTGCCAAGCACAGTCCCTCTGACAGGAGGCACTTTTATCATATCAATGGAGGAAGCATTAAATATGGGAATCTGCTATCCTCTGGAATATACAACTGTGAGAATTTAGAAGTATCCTGAGAAAAACTGGTCAAAAGCTGAAAAGTTTAATGAAAAATTTCAAAATTTTGTACTTGTCTCTGTTGCAAAGTGGAGCTGTTTTCGTTTTTTTCAAAAATGGTCACAGTTTTTAAAAATTGCTGGAGTTTTATCAAAGACATTATTAAAATGGTTATTGACAGTTTTCATTAGTAGAAACCCAAGTGTAAATGCTGATTTTTGTAAATTCTAATTTTTTGAAGATGTTCTCAAACATACTTTTCTGCAAATAATGGACATTTTTTACATCAAGAATTTTAATGAAAACATTATTTTTGGGGGGAGGAGGCTGTTTTTTAATTGGGGGGAAAATACCCTTTTTTGCTTTAAAAAAAAAAATTGACCATTTGTAGGAGTGCGCTAGTTTGCTCATTGAGTGTGTTTTTCTTTGCTCACTTTGCAGCTTTGACGCAGACAGTAAGAGCCAAGCCACCAGACTCTGGAATAAAAGCACATCACAGATCCCTAGTTACACTGAAAGCAGGTACAGTGTATGAGTTCTAAGCTTCCCAAATCTCTTGGGTGGCCATAATATATGGTGCTGAAACAAATCACCATGGGGCTGTTTTTGCTGCACCCTACTTCCCACCCAGACCCTGCATCCTCACTCCCAGCCTGCTCCTTGTAGCCCTCTCTTGCACATGGAAACACTCATTTTCGGCCCCACTCAGGAGCCACAAAAATCTTTTACTCCAGGCCCTCAGACGAGTAAATCTAGTGCTGTCTAGACCAAGTAAACATAGACTATCCCTGCTGGGTGTTTGTCCAACCTGGTCTTAAAAACCTCCGGAGAAGGGGATTCCACAGCCTTCTTGAAAGCCTGTTTCAGAGCTTTCAGCTCTGGGATTAGAAAACTTTTCCTGAGATCCATACATACACTCTGTGGTGTAGTGGGGGTGCTGTCTGCTCTGTAACCTGGGGTCCCCCTGCACCGTGATGTGTGATTCCCACTGACTCCCCCAAATGTGTATTAACCCAGACACCTAAGCTCAGCCTGAGGAGATAACGGGATTCCCAGGGGGAGAGACAAAGGGAGAGAGGCAGAGACCAACAGGAGGCTTCGGGGGAAGGGTCAGTTGCTGGCTGGGAAACATGAAGGAGTCAGCCTAAACTGAGGGCTGGAGGTCTAGGGGGGTGATGGACCTCTCTAACCGAAAGGATCTGGGGCATCCTGGCCCAGACTCCTGTAGCCACATCACGTCTATGCTGTGCTGTAGCCTGGAGGAGCAATAAACCCTCTCTATTCTTGCTGCTATGGGGCTGCAGGATTTGGGAGAACCCTGACTCAGCATCACACACTCCGCTGGCTGCAGACATTGTATCTAAAAGGGTGTTACAAGGAGTAGAGAGAAAAAAAATTCTCTTGGCCTCTGATGATAGGATAAGAAGCAACGGACTTAAACTGCAGCAAGGGAGACTCAGGTTGGACATTAGGAAAAACTTCCTGCCTGTTAGGGTGGTTAAACACTGGAATAAATTGCCTAGGGAGGTTGTGGAATCCCCATCACTGGAGATATTTAAGAGTAAGTTGGATTGACATCTATCAGGGATGATCTAGATGGCACTTGGTCCTGCTGTGAGGGTAGGGGACGGGACTTGATACCCTCTTAAGGTCCCTTCCAGTTCTAATATTCTGTGATTGGGAACAACTAGTACATCTTGTATATTACAACTAGACATGCTGAGTTTTTAACCTTCCCCTGTAGGTCAAAACTGTTTATCTTTTTTGTTGTCCTCTGGGCTTTCAGAATTTGTTCACATCTTTCTTAAAGTGTGTCATCCAAAGCTGGAGCCAGTACTCCAGCTGAGTTCATACCCAGTGCTGCATAGAGCAGAACAGTTACCTCCCATGTCTTACAAGATCTCCTGATAACATACCGAGAGTGATAGTAGATTTTTTTGCAGCTGCAGCCCAATGTGACTCCTGGATGCAATGCAGTCATGGGACAATCCCCACTGGTGCTGCAGCACTACAAGTAAAGATTAGAAAGGGTCTTATATTTTACGACAGAAAATGGTTTCCGGCTCTAAAAAGGGAAAATGGCTACCAACATCCAGCTTCTGCAGACATGATTTTCAGAGATGCTAATGCCCAAGTCAGTAGGGCATGAGTGTCCAGCACCTCTGATAATCAGCCCCTATGCAAACAGAAACAGACTTCTGACATCTAGGGTGTCAGCAGTGTAAAATGCAAAACTTAATTTCCTGACCTGAGCAATCTTTCATTGTAACCAAGTCCCTGCACTGTGTATATTGCAGTGCACCACACTGCCTTCCTCCCCAGCAGTAGCATTTCTCTTCTGTTCCCAAGACTCAGACCCAGCTGATTTTTATTGCATTTTGCCTGCAGAAAGGATGAAGTCAGACAGACCCCAAGTGGCAACTGCTGGACTGAAATCAGGTCACAGCATGGGAAGAGTAATAATTCACAAGGGAGTGGCTATGCAAACTAAGTGATTGGGCAACAAAATGGCAAATGAAATTTAATATTGATAAATGTAAAGTAATGCACAATGGAAAAAATAATCCCAACTATACATACAATATGATGGGGACTAATTTAGCTACAGCTACTCAAGAGAGAGATCTTGGAGTCATTGTGGATAGTTCTCTGAAAATATCTACTCAATGTGCAGCGGCAGTCAAAAAAGCAAACAATGTTAGGAATCATTAAAAAAAGGATAGAGAATAAGAGAATATCTTATTGCCTCTCTGTAAATCCATGGTACACCCACATCTTGAATATTGCGTACAGATGTGGTCATACAATCATAGAGCTGGAAGAGACCTCAGGAGGTCATTGAGTCCAGCCTTCTGCCCAAAGCAGGACCAATCCAAACTAAATCAACCCAGCCAGGGCTTTGTCAAGCTGAGACTTTAAAACCTCTAGGGATGGAGATTCCACCACTTTCCTAGGGAACCCATTCGAGTGCTTCACCAGCCTTCTAGTGAAATAGTTTTTCTTAATATCCAACGTAGACCTCCCCCACTGTAAGTTGAGATCCTTCTCCTTGTTCTGCCACCTGTCACTACTGAGAACAGCCTCTCTCCATCCTCTTTAGAACTTCCCTTCAGGAAGTTGAAGGCTGCTCTCAAATCCCCCCTCACTCTTCTCTTCTGCAGACTAAAGAAGCCCAAATCCCTTAGCGTCTCCTCATAGGTCATGTGCTCCAGCCCCTTAATCATTTTGGTTGCCCTTTGGTGGACCTTCTCCAATGCGTCCAGATCCTTTCTATAGTGGGGGGGGGGCCAGTACTGGACGCAGTACTGCAGATGTGGCCTCACCAAAGCCGAATAAAGGGGAATAATCACTGCTCTAGACCTGCTGGCAATGCTCCTTCTAATTCATCCTATTTTATGCCATTAGCCCTCTTGGCTACAAGGGCACACTGTTGACTCATATCCAGCTTCTCATTCACTGTAATCCCCAGGTCCTTTTCTATTGAACTGCTACTTAGCCAGGCAGTCCCCAGCCTGTACCAATGCTTGGGATTCTTCTGTCCCAAGGGCAGGACTCTACACTTGTCCTTGTTGAACCTCATCAGATTTCTTTTGGCCCAATCTTCTGATCTTTCTAGGTCACTCTGGACCCTGCCCTCCAACGTATCTACCTCTCCTTCTAGCTTAGTGTCATCTGCAAACTCGCTGAGGGTGCAATCACCCCCTCATCCAGGTCATTAGTAAAGATGTTGAACAAAACCTACCCTAGAACCGATCCTTGGGGCTCTCCGCTAGAAACCGACCGCTAATCTGACATCGAGCCATTGATCACTACCCGTTGGGTCCAACAGTCTAGCCATCTTTCTATCCATCTTAAAGTCCATTTATCCAATCCATACTTCCTTAACTTGCTGGCAAGAATATTGTGGGAGACCGTATCAAAAACTTTACTAAAGTCAAGGTATACACATCCACTGACTTTCCCATATCCAGAGAGCCAGTTACCTCATCCTAGAAGCTAATCAGATTGGTCAAGCATGACTTGCTCTTGGTGAATCCATGTTGACTATTCCTGATTACTTTCCCCTCTTCCAAGTGCATCAAAATGGATTCCTTGAGGATCCCCTCCATGATTTTTCCAGGGACTGAGGTACGGCTGACTGGTCTTTAGTTCCCTGGATAGGAACTACATTTGCTTGGTGGTTGCTTCATCTCAAAAAAGATTTGTTGTTGTTGGAAAAGGTTCAGAAAAGGGCAGCAAAAATGATTAGGGGTTTGGAACAAGTCCCATATGAAGAGAGATTAAAAAGACTTGGACTTTTCAGCTTAGAAAAGAGGAGACTAACGGGGGATATGATAAAGGTCTATAAAATCATGACTGGCGTGGAAAAAGTGAATAAGGAAGAGTTATTTATTTATTCCCACAATATAAGAACTAGAAGTCACCAAATGAAATCAATAGGCAGCAGGTTTAAAACAAACAAAAGGAATTTTTTCTTCACGCAGCACACAGTCAACCTGTGGAACTCCTTGCCAGAGGATGTGGTGAAGTCAGGACTTTAACAGGGTTCAAAAAAAAGCTAGATAGATTCATGGAGGTTAGGTCCATCAAAGGCTATTAGCCAAAATGAGTAGAAATGGTGTCCCTAGCCTCTGTTTGTCTGGAAAAGGATGACAGGAGAGGGATCACGTGATGATTACCTGTTGTGTTCTCTCCCTCTGGGGCATCTGGTATTGGCTACCATCAGCAGACAGGATACTAGACTAGATGGACCTTTAGTCTGACCCCGTATGGTTGTTCTTATGCTGTTTGATATAGAGCACAACCTTGCTTTTCATTTAAAAGGGTGTTGGTCAGTGATTTGCAGACTTTCAGAGTCTGGTCATAGGGCAGTCTCCACATACATCACCTGCTTCCTGAGTTGTGTGTGATCAGGTTTTCCATTGGTCCTTCCCTGCCCCCACAGGATCTGTCCCAAAGGAGCTTCTCAGTCCAGTCTTTACTTTTCCTAGTGGGCTCCCAGCTGCCTCAGCAAACTGCACCTGCCAATTCCAGTGGTAGGGAAGCTTTGAGTTTAAGCCAGTGTGGCTCCCTCCAGTGCTGCACTAGAACCTGGCACAAAACTAAGAATCCAGACAAGGCACTTTCCAGCTAATGTCATGCACACACTCTAAGCTCCCATAGTAAGTGTGTGAGTCCCAAGCAAAGTGTTGAGACCCCTTTCAGGGAATATCAGAAACGCATGAGCTTCATTCTGATTCCGGGGAAGAGGGGAAGCGGTCTGATGCAGAAGAACAGTTCAGGGAACAGACATTCACTCCCTATGCAGGGATGTCTGCTTAGTGTGGAACGTCAGTGCAGCAGTGGGAAAGCAGGGGAGTATTCACTTTATCTCGTGTTTCATTAATTATTATTTATTGTGATTATCAGTGACAAAGGGGATGAGGAGGAGCCTGTGGGGACATCTCAACGTGAAGCAACACTATCCAAATCTACCCTGGCTACAGGCAGAAGGTAGAGTCGCTATAGAGTTTATTATATGAAATGAGCCTCCACTCCAGCAAGTGCTCCCAAATCATGTGTACTTTATGTTGCAGATAGTGCCACTTGCTATGCCCTGGCCTTTGCTAACTCCTCTGAGGAAGAGATGATTCCTCTCAGTATTGAGAAAGATGCTGCTCTGCCCAGTGAGCAAGCAATGAAGCACTTAGTTTGTGGCACCCAGGAGAAATGGGGGCTGGTGTCTTCCCCATATTCTATGGGGATCCAGCTGAGAAGGCTTGTTACCCCTCCTTGTATACCAACCTCCTATGACCTAGATTATGCCCTTTGTCTTTTCAGAGATCTGTCTGTCCTGTCCTCAGACTGACTTTCCTGGGCAGAAGGTCATTTGCTTACTATGTCCCATTGTAGTGGAGTTCTCTTCCCAATCATGTTCACCACTCTTAGTTGGTTTGCTATGTTTAGGTTGGATCAGAACAGGATTCAGATTTTTGTTCGTTTGCCCTTTCCTTTCAAATTCTGTCTTCCTTTGTGTATAGAACTTCAATAACTGTAGAAGACTTGGAGATACCAAATAAGTTTGTGGTAGCACGTCGGATTAATTGCAACTTTCTTTTTATATTTATATGTGAAGAAAGTTATGAATATCCCCAAGCCAGTGGCTTAGAGTGAAGTAAAGCTGAGAGCCACCTCCTCCCCAGAGAAAAGGTAGAGTTCAGGCTGTGTTGATGTTCCCATAGTCAAGGTCCATGAATATATGGCCAAGTCTTGTTACTGGAGCAAATGCATGATCATAGAGCACAGGCATGGCCACGCCTACCAGTGGAACCATTCAGTGTGTGAGAGTCTCTCAAAAGATT